GTATTTAATTCAACTGGCAAAATAAATTGTTAAAATATTTATGATGTGCTTCTGTTTTTTAATTCAGGAGATTATTAAAAATTCCTTCGTTTTATGAAAAGACCCCCCTGATTCAAGAGAAAACTCCGGTTTTTAACAAAATGGCTGCTTTTCAGTTAATTGTTAGTCAACCTATAAGATAAATCAACTTCAGATTAATTAATTAATCAATAACTTGCATCCTTAATTTATACAGGAATGAAATTAATATATATCTACTCATATTCACGTAATTAAGCGTTTTAATGATTTGGCCGTTTAATCAATTAATCGAAAAAATAATCGACAGATTAATCGATTATTAAAATAATCGTTAGTTGCAGCCCCGTTTCTATTAGACCGCTTTTTAAAATGTGAATTAGTTTTATCTTTACAGGTCTGTCTAACCTAAACAGCAATGCAACTATATTAAGTGTTGCAACACAAACTCGTAGCTTATTTATTACAAATAAGAATAACTGCAAAAGCTACAAAATAAGGACTTGCATTAGATGCTACTAAAATGTATTTTTCAAAGTAYGAACTTCAGACCTTTTGTAAATCTGCAGAGACCTTCCATCGGGTATCTTTGCATCTTACCTGGAAGCCCTGGATGTGAGCCAGGTAATCCAGCTGCTGCGCAGGCTGCACTGAGACTCCCACGTTCTTTCCCTTTATGGGCAGTGATGCGTCGGCTGCGGGGGACTGAGGTGACTGACCGTTAAGCAGCAGCTCTCTGGCCATGGTAGCAGTGGGGCTGGGTGACGAAGGTGAGCCACTGTAATACGGAGTGTGTCCTGCGGGTGCTGGGGCCGAGCAGGGCCCTATGTCTTTGGATGTCATGTAGCTGATGGATCCTCCACTGCTGCCACCAGAGCCCGGTGAACTGCCACTTTGCTTTCTACTGGCTTCCATTTCCTGATAGACGTCCGGGCTGAGATGGAGGAGACCCTTCGGGGCTGGAGGGGGGTCACAGGGGATTGGATAAAGAGTAGAAAAAGGGGTGAAATATAAAAATGTTTGTATCGATCAACTGATGAAATGAAAATCAGAGATTGAGCTAATACGCGACAGAAATACAAAACCCTGAATTTAAAAAGTAGGGATGCATCAATGAATTGATTAACTGGTCAATTTTACTATGGCTTCATTTTACCATCTGGTATCTTCGAAACCAGAATGTATGAAACGTAGTTACATCAATATTAAAAAGTAAGCGTATATTAAAAACAAAAAACATTAACAAGGCAAAACGACATAACTTAGGTTTTTCACAAGTCAAACTTAAGAAAAATTAAAAAAAATCACAGCACTTTTTTTAACTTTACTTTTGGTCTGGTTCTTATCTCATGTTAAAATCAAGGGTAAACAGATTTCCTGGTCAATCATTTGCAGACAACGCCACTTGTATACGTGTATTATCTGTGCTCATTGTCTTTCCGCACTGCCAATATATGGTCCTGTTTGAGAACTATTAAAATCACCTTTTGGAAGTGTCTGCTGGAAATCACACACAAACGCTTTCTCACTCCTCTCAAACACAAACACAGAAACACAAACGAAGCAGGCACCAATATCAACAGAGTGTCTATGACTTCATCTTTGATGGGAAACAGCAGCATCAGTCAACCAGCATCCTGTTCCACTTACGACTTTTAAAGCACAACAGAACCTGTAAGTGGGTTGRCTGTTCTAAAACTATTTTAGCATCTAAAGAAAACTTTCAGAGACATTGAACCGTAAGAAGTCGAAGGAGTGTTGCACCAGCTGAGCACAACACACAAAAATTATGTCCTGTTGCACATAATTTGAAGAATATTTTAAGTTGGGTACGTGGACTTTGACATTAGGGATGTCCCGATCCAGATTTTTAGGCTCCCGATACGATCCGATTTAATGATAATGGTGCGTTCACACCGAACGCGATTTCAGCTTCAAAATCGCAGCCAACGCTGAAGTTTGAAGCTTGTGCACTTTGAGGTCAGACGCAGGACAGCTGCGCTGCACGGCGACAGCCGCCCCGCCCCTCCCTCCTCTGTGGGGCTGTTTAATGTCGGACGAGGAAGTGGCTTTGCTTTATTTACAGACAGCCAGAACGTGTCACGTTCATCAGATAATTAATTCATAATTAATTCACCAGATAATTCAGAGAAGAGGCTCACAGCTGCTTTCAGGACTATTTTTCCAGTCTGATGAGTCGCTGCCACGCATTGGTGCGGATCAGGACACGACTGCAGGCACTCATTTTAGCTAAAGAGCAGGAGCTCCGTCTGTTTCAGGTTAGTGGACCTCATTCAGTAAACTGTCCCGTCGGGAAATATGTCGCTACGTCACACAGTGGAGTCTCTCTGATTGGTTGACGCTGCGCGTCGAGCTGCAAAAGTTCAGATTTCCCAACTTCAGCGATTTGGACGATTTGGACGATCTGAGCGTCGAACGCTCAGATCGTCCAAATCGTTCAAATCGCGCTGCTCTAATCGCGCTTGAGGCGCCGCAGAACTTCCCGACGTTGCTTGAAGCGCCTCCACCATAGACTTTGCATGTAAACCTGCTGCTCCTGACGCTGAAATCGCGTTTGGTGTGAACGCACCGTTAGTCTTTCTGATACCGATCCGATAGCTTTATTTCTTTCCAAATGACAATGTTGGTAGTATAAAAGCGAGCTCTGCTGTTTCCACCACGAGAAACATCCAGTTTGCAGATTTTGCAAGATGCAGTTTCAGCATCATTGTTTTCCATTGAAAAGTGTTCCCACACTGTGGACATGGTTGCATACTTGTGTGCGTCGTGACTTCTTAACGGCAGTTGTAAAGCTTAATGATGCTGAAAACTGTTGCCAAAACTGGATCGGCCCGATCACATGACTAAATCCGATTCTACCCGATTTTCAAAAAATGGCCATATCTGCCACCGATACCGACACTGAGTATCTGATCGGAACATCCCTATTTGACATCACTAATATGGTTGAAATAGACCAAGGGAGGACACAACAATGTGCTCAATGTGCTTCTCAAAGTTGTGAGTTTTACAAAAGACACAAACGCTGAAGACGAGAATGAGCTGTGAGCCAGTCACAATGGAAGAGGATGTGAGGACGAGTGGATACCAAACCCACGAGGAACCTCCAGGCTCAGCCAAGGTCACCCGAGACAGGAAGACCAGCTGTCTGTGTGTCTGTGTGTATGTCTGAGGGCTTGTTTGTGTGTGCATACAGATTAACAGCTGGGAGAAAGTGGTGTGGAGTGAGCACACGACTGACAGTCCACTTCCTGTTTCAGTTAACATTTGCCATCGCGCACAAAGTCGGAGAGATTTGCACACTTGTAGCTGCCTCTAGTCAAAAAGTTCCTGGAAACCTACAGACAGCATTTCCTTTAAAAAAAAAAGAGAAGCTTGCGCTTTTTCCAGAAGAAAAGAAAAGCTGAAGGAAACAGCGATAAAATCCTAGGCTTATTGCTTATTCTAGAACAAACTTCCCACTGCCAGCAGTGACATAATTAAGAGGATTTTTTCCAACCTTCCGATGCTGATGACAACTACAATTTGAATTTACACAAACAAAACTCGCAGGCCTGTGCATTTTGAATGTTGCACCATAAAAATACAAGTTTTAATCCAACATGACATCAGCAGCAAACAAAAATTAAAAAAAAAAAAAACTAAAGGGGGAGGCAGTCGGTGTGCACGTGAGGATGTCTGCATGTGATTGAGTACTCGAGTGTCGGATGGTGAGCGTGAGAAGCAGCAAGCATGAGTGAGACAAAGAAGAGGAGCCAGAGAGAGTGAATAAGCAAAAGTGACTGAGTGCGTTTCTCTATGATGTTGAGACAGTGGTTGTGAAATTGTGTACATGAAGCGAAAGCGGGGGAGGAGGAGAGAAGCRAGGCTGTGAAGTGTGCGTGTGTGTGTGGAGGGGGGGTATAAAAAGAAAAACAGCAATGGAGAGCTGTGCTTGTGGTGCAGGTTCCAGGCAGTTGCTGAGGGGTCCCACCCAGACTCGGTGTCCGGTGGGCCAGGGGAGCTCTGGAGGGAAGCCAGAGCCAAGCATGAGACTGATCGAAAACAGATAGGGCCGAAGCCCACCGCTATAAATCACCAGTGTGGAGCAAGACCTTTACGTAGTTCACACATGCACACACATACACACATATATATATGAGCAGCAGGAAATGAATTGTGGCAACTCAAGTGAAAAGCTCTGCTGCAATCCCCATGGGAATAAAAGGGAGAAAAATCACTCCTCTAACTTCTTTTTTCTTCTTTCTTTTTACGCTCCCTTCCTGTCTCTAAGCCACCCTGTTTGTTGTAGCAGCGTCTTCCACAGCTTACACAGAGCGAAGAACAAACACACACACACACACACACACAGATTGGAATGAAGGTTGTGGGTGACTAAGATGTGTGTGTGTGTGTTTTGTTCGCAAAAGAACTGAAGATGCAACAATAAATGAACAGCCCATGACATTTCCCCCCACTTTTTCCCACTAACGCAAAATGCTTTGCACTATTGAAGAGAGGAGTTGGTCATCAATGGAAATGTAAACGTAGAAAAAAATGTGTGTGTTACGTAGGGCAAGAAAATGGTACAATATTAGAGATAGAGTAGCAGTTAAAGCAACAAAAGTTAAATTAAAACAGAGCTTTTTATTATAGAAGGTTTTATCGGCGATCGATAACACTACTTATTCTTTAACAAGAACATTGATTTTACTTTAAATGGCGTTTACTGCAAGGTTTATTCACATCCTTATTACTGCTAGGCTTATGAGTACTTTCATACCTAACTGTAAGGTCTTATACATTGTTATCAGTCCTAAACTTGTCATACAAGTTAGTGTACGACACATTCCAGTATTTTTACTGCAAAAATGAACCATAAAAAAACTGCTGCAAAACAGAGCTGCTTTTATCACAGGTGATAAGTTTGGAAATTAACAGTGAAAAAAAATTAAATATATACATATATTTTTTTCTTTTTTTGTGAAAAAACAAGGTATAGAATTACTAAAGGAATGTTGGATTTCTGGTCTGTTCACCACTTGTAAGCTGGCTGGTACCAATACAATAGAGAAGTGCAGAAGTTTCAAACAGCCAATCACAAGTTTTAGTAACTGTAATTATTCATTTAGACTACAAACCTAAAAGACACGGCGTTATACCAACACTGGTTCCAAAATCCATATAAATCCTAAACAAATTCTTTAAAAGGTCCTGATGCATCTCAGTAATCCAGGTAAAAAATCAAAAAGAAAAAAATTGTATAGGTCTTCTGGAC